CTGGAGTGGGTTGCCATGCCCTCCTCTAGGGGATCTTCCCAACCCAGGGATCGAACCCAGGTTTCCCACATTGCAGGCGGATTCTTTACCATCTGAGCCACCAGGCACTATAATTTTATGTTCATTTAAAATCCAGGAACTGGTCTTGGGAACAGTACAAACTCCTTTGTATTTTTATGTACTGATCACACTCATCTATTAGAAGTAAACATTTCTAATTTGCCACTATTTTCTCCTATTTTGGCCTTTCTTCACACACACACACACACACACACACACACATGTATTAGTGTGTGAAAGTGAAAGTGTTTGTTAGTTGCTTGGTCGTGTCAGACTCTTTTGCGACCCCATGGACTGTAGCCATCTAGGCTCCTCTGTCTGCGGGATTCTCCAGGCAAGAATATGGGAGTGGGTAGCCATTCCCTTTTCCAGGGGCTCTTCCCAAACCAGAGATTGAACCCGAGTCTCCCGCATTGCAGGCAGATTCTTTACTGGCAGAACCACCAACCAGGGAAGCCACATATAAGTGTGTATACTCAGAATCTCAAAAATTCTGGAAGCAGCGAATGACTTGTTCAACCCTGAGAACCTCTATCTCCTCTCTCTCCAGAAAGCTGGTTCCTTCATCGGTGTGTTGATATCAGAAAGGTCCTCTCAAGAAGAAACTGAAATCATCTCCCCTCTAGTTTCACAGTGGTCTCAAGTCAGACTTCAGAACTGCCTTGAACAGGTAAGCACCTTCTTCTGTACACCTGCACGTCTTTCCAGGATCCTCCTCTCCCCCTATGCCCCAGTGATCACACAGGCCAAGCCAAGGAGGAGCCCCAGTCTTGGCATCACTTGGATTCCTCTGAGATGTCACAGGAAGATGCCCGATCTGCCTCAAGGGCTTAGGCAAGCACAGGCTAGATGGACGGATGCTAAAGCAAGATATCTGTTCCAATACAAGAAGCAAACAGAGGCTTAAGGTAGAAGTCAACAGTGACTTCAGCATGTGGTCCAGATTTCCAGAGATTATGATTCTGGGCCTCTGGGGTGGGGTCCCCTGTCATTACTACCACCTCATGTGACCACAATGCGAGAAACTCTGGCTTAGTCCAGTCCCTTGGAACATCTGTACCCTCTCCACACATTGGCAGCTGAATGGCTCACACATCAGGCAGCCAGAAAGGCCTGGCTCAGCCCTCATCACCTCAGTGCCTGCTTTGGTTGGATTTATTACATGCCCACATCACATTCTGTTTTGCTCTGGGAATGAGGGCTTCCACAGATGTGCTCTGTACTAGGCTCCAAGGGATTATGGGGGTGAGAGAAATGTTTATCACCTCCAGCAAGGATATATATCCTCCTATTGGGGCCCAACTGTTTTGTCCTCAAGCACAAAGCCCTGAGCCTCATAGAGAACAGGTCTGAGCCTAAGCAACCATCTCATTCTCCCTTTCCCTGGGTTCAGCTCCATCCTCAGTGAGTCACTTGTAGGAAGGGCCCCCAGGCCTCAGATGCACTTACACAAGGGACAGACACTCACATCCAGGGAGGAGCGTCGGGCAATGCTCAGATGCCTGTCTGGTCAGCTCCGTAAGGCTCCAGCAAAGGTGCGGGGACACCGGCAGGAGAGAGCACAACACCACTGCTGGCTCAAGAGGTGCCCCTGTGCACTTGTGAAAAGCATACTTCCTGGGCAGATGCAGCCCCACACCAGGGTGCATGGCTTAGCAGGTGCTGAGGAAGCTAGATGGTAGCCCTGACTTGCCCTGGATGCCCTTATGCAGTAAACCACTGGAACAGCTGTGACAACCTTGCTTGGAGAGAAGCAGCAGGAAAGAAGACAGGGAGAAGAAAGGTCGCCAAGGCCATTCAAGGCCCATGGCAACTGCCCCCTATCCTAATCCACTAGGCCCCCAAAGAAGCCCCACTCAGAGCAGCTGCCACAGCCATCCTTACCCCTCCTTTCTACCTAGATTGTTCACATCCCATCTACCCTTCAAGGCCTTCTCAATCCCCCTCTGCCAGGAAGCCTTCCCTGACCACCCCCTTCCCTTCTTCAGATCTGTTCCCCTGGTGGGCTTCCATACTTCTCTCACTCAGCGGCAGGCGCCTTTCTGTGGCCATGTCTCCCCTGCCCCAAGACTACAACTCTGCCAGACTCTCCATAGAGCACCTGGCACCATGCAGGCAGCATGCAGTAGGTGGTTATTGAGTATTTACTGATTAATTGCAGTGGAAAAACATGGAATGGGGGCTGAAAATGAATTTGGTCCAAACTTGACCAGATTCCCTGGGATCCATGGCGATAAGACCTCCTCATCTGCTGCCCCAGTTTCCCATGTACACAGTACAGTAGATCAATGAATAAACTCCAAGGTTTCTGCCAACATTGAACCCTAAGCTTATAAGACTCAGAGCCCCTGGCCCCCCATCAGCCAGGTTTTCCTCCCTCTCACCCCAGTGTCTAGCACAGTGCTTGGCCCAGAATAGGCAAGCAATATGGTATATGGGTTGCCTCGGTCTCTATGCTTTGGCAACCTTAGCATTTAACTTGGTGCTTTATTTAGCAAACTACAGACATCAAACTTGACCAATTCAAGCAAAAGAGCCCTACTGCGAAAAGGTCTACAATGAGGTTTCTCATGCAATCAACGGGAAAGCTGGAGAACCAGGCTTGGAAAATAGGGGTGGGTGTGAAAGGTGCAGAACCACAGCTAAAAAGCTTCAGGGAAAAGCTAGGTCAGAACACCCACTGGCTCCTGGCCATCTCTGCCACCACTGGCTACTGCTCTTCCAAGCTGCTGCTACAACACAGGTGCACTCTGAACTCTCACCAGCTCAGAGCCTGAGTTCCAAGTAGGGCATGTAATTAGCCCAGTTAAATCACATAAAACAAGCCTCCAGGATAAGCAGGTGAGTGAGTGTTGAACACTGGTTCAGTGCGTGCACCTGTGCTCAGTCGTGTCCAACTCTTTGCAACCCACAGACTGTAGCCCGCGAGGCTCCTCTGTACATGGGATTTCCCAGGCAAGAACACTGGAGTGGGTTGTCCCAACCCAGGGATTGAACCTGTGTCTCCTGCATTGGCAGGTGGATTCTTTATCACTGAGCCACCTGGGAAGCCACCAATGCACATTAAGTCACGCGGTCACACCCTAATTGCCAGGAAGAGAGGTGCTCATGCATTCAAATTCCTCAATAGGAAGGATCTTCAGGTGCAAGGCAGTCAAGAAATGCCAAAGGCCACTCTCATTATTCTGTCCCTTTAACCAAACAGATTCTCTCTCCTTGGAATTTGAAAAAGAAACTGTAGTATGTTGAATGGTGGCTCTCCAAAAGATTGAGGGCAGGAGGAGAAGGGGGCAACAGAGGATGAGATGATTGGATGGTCTCACTGACTCAACGGACATGAGTTTGAACGAATTCTGGGAGATAGTGAAGGACAGGGAAGCCTGGTGTGCTGCAGTCCATGTGGTCACAAAGGGTTGGATATGACTTAGCAACTGACCAACAACAAAAGATATGTCAGCCTAGAACCTAAGAATGTGAACCTATTTGGAATAAAGGTCTTTGCAGCCGGAATTAAGGTAAAAATTTCAAGGTGAAATCATCCTGGATAGAGATGTGACCTTAGATAGAAAACACAGAAAGATGGGACAAAATGCAGACCCTGAAGTGGTGAAAACAGAAGCAGAGAAATGCCAAGGGTTGCCAGGAGTCACCCAAAGCTCTGAATGAATTCTCCCTCAGGGCCGCAAAACAAGCCAACCCAGCTGATGCCTTAATTTCAGACTTCGGGCCTCCTAAACTGTGAGCGAATAAACCTCTGTTCTAAAAGCCCCTAGTCTGGAGGAAATAATTACAGCAGTCTCAAGGAACTAATACAGGGGCCTAGAGGTGTCATCAGTATGGGGCTGGTGGGAACGTGCTGGGGTGATACGGAAGCCTCTCTGGGGATCTGAGGGGGCCTCAGAGGCTGCAAACACCCTTCCAGAAGACACAGCACAAAGAGGGGTGAAGGTGGGAAGTCCAGGAGGCAGCGAGGGCTCCTTGGAGGCAAGAGGATCCGCATGCCTCTGCTACTTTGAGCCTTCAGACAGTGTTGGGGAGGTGATGTGGAGGGTAGTTGGGGGGCTGCAAGGACAGGGAAGGGGGGGCAGGTCAGCCAAGACGCCACCCAAGTTGGGAAAACCATCCATTCCTTTACTTTCGTCATTGCTCCCCCAGGAGCCTGCCCCATACTGCCCTGGGTTAAGGTCAATAGAGTCATTCCCCTGTTCACCAACCTGGACAGAGCAGAGGTGCCTATCTCTGCCCTCTGCGCCACACTCAGGCACTCTCTGGTTTTCTTAAATAGGGTTTTGTCTGGGTTCCTAGGGCGGCTGCATTTCGAAACCATTCTTCGGGCGCCGCTCGGTTACAAAAGCGCCCTGCCAAGTGTCCCAAGAACGTCATCTCACATCATCCTTCACAGAGTAGGCTCATGCCCCATTTCACAGATGGGGAAAGTGAAGCTAAATCACTAGCCCGAAGTCAGACACTCAGCAGCCTGAAAGGGAGCGAACGCAGGGTCCCAGCTGGGTCCAGGTTTCTGCAACTCGTGCGCCGCCCACACTTTCCGGCCAGCGCCCCATTTCCCCATCCCACCCCAGCAAGGGGCGCCCGGCCAGCCCCTGGAGGAGCGTGCCTCGGCTGCTAATCGCCCGCCGCCCCCGCCTCCGTTTCACTGCCCGGAGACTCCCAGGCCGGCTTAGCCCGGAGACGGCTCAGGGGCCGCGCGGCGCAGCCGATTGGCCCGCAGTAATTACGGGCACGCTCCGGGAGGGGGAGGGGGGGCGGGGTGGCCCCCCGCGAGCATAAATTATGCAAATACCCGGGCGCCGCACGGGGCTGACCTGCCGCCAAGCTCCATTCAAGGGGGCTGCCTCGGGGGCGGAGGTGGCTAGGGAGGGGGGCGCCCATTGTTGCGCCGAGTACTTAAGGGGTCCTGAGGCCAGTCGTGTGCCACACTCGGTACTCACACGAGCTGATCTGATCGCCGGCGAGATCACTCGGGAGACAGGCAGGAGCGTGGCCCCTGCAGGCGAGGCGAGGAGTTGAGGCCAAGTTTCCGGTGCGCCCCTGAGCTCTTCCAGCCCTTGGTGCCCGCAGCCAGCACAGAGTAGACCCGGGCCGTTCCGAACGTAAGTGCGTCCCGGCGGCCTTGCCCTTAGCCTGGACTCCTGCCCTCTAAGCGCCCTCTCATCCATCCATCGGTCCTGCACAACGCCACGATGCCAGCCACTCTAGAGACCTGCCTCTCGGACCTCGACTGCGCTAGCAGCAGCAGCAGCAGCACTAGCGACCTGTCCGGCTTCCTCACCGACGAGGAGGACTGTGCCAGGCTCCAACAGCCCGCGTCAGCCTCGGGGCCGCCCGTGACGGTCCGCAGGGGCGCACCCGGGATTCCCGGGGCGTCCGACACTCCTCGAGCGCCGGATGATGAGCAGGAGCGGCGGCGGCGCAGAGGCCGCGCCCGGGTGCGCTCCGAGGCGCTGCTGCACTCGCTGCGCAGGAGCCGACGCGTCAAGGCCAACGACCGCGAGCGAAACCGCATGCACAACCTGAACGCAGCGCTGGATGCGCTGCGCAGCGTGCTGCCCTCCTTCCCCGACGACAGCAAGCTCACCAAGATCGAGACGCTGCGCTTCGCCTACAACTACATCTGGGCTCTGGCAGAGACTCTGCGCCTGGCGGACCAGGCGCTGCCCGGGGGCGCTGCCCGCGAGCGCCTCCTGCCGCCACAGTGCGCACCCTGCCTCCCCGGGCCCCCGAGTCCCGCCAGCGACGCTGAGTCCTGGGCCTCCGGTGCCGCCGCCTCCCCCTGCGCCGCTGCCGCCTCGCCACTCTCTGACCCCAGTAGCCCCGCCGCATCCGAAGACTTCACCTATGGCCCCGGCGACCCTCTTTTCTCCTTCCCCGGCCTGCCCAAAGACTTGCTCCACACGACGCCCTGTTTCATCCCTTACCACTAGGGCCCCTTTTGAATACCGTTACCTTCCCCCTCCCCCAGGAGACGGACAGTAGATGGGGACCCAGCTGCGGCCTCCGGCCGCCCAGTCCAGGCAGACCGAGGAAACGGGAGCTTTAAATGGGTAGGGGATACCTGAGCCGCTTGTTAGGTCGCCGCACCCTCGCAGCGGCTGCCCCTTGGTCTGTTTCTCCAGCCCTCAGCCCCAGGGCCCCTCCCGCCCGCCCCTAGACGGCCTTTCCTTTCGCACTTTCTGTAGTCCACAAAACCTCCTTTGTGGCTGGCTCAGAGCTGACCCCAGCCACCACTTCAGTGTGATTTAGAAAAGGGACACATCGGTCCCTGAAGACGAGGTGAAAAGTCAATTTTACAATTTGTAGAACTCTAATGAAGAAAAACGAGCATGAAAATTCGGTTTGAGCCGGCTGACAATACAATGAAAAGGCTTAAAAAGGAGAGACAAGGAGTAGGCTTCATGCATTATGGATCCCGACCCCCACCACTGCAGGCTCGCTCTAGGAAGAACCCGAGACTCTTGCGTAGCTATTCAGGCACTGGGCTGGAGAGTACTTTAATTTATTCAAGATGCTTCATTCATATGAAAATGTATTTTTGTGCATAAAGAGTTTATTCTATTATTATGAGCTATCAAAGTTTACATTTTTGTACTGCAGATGTTTCATGTAAATAAAAGCTAAATAAAAAAGATAATAAGTCACCAAGTTTTTTGCCTGTGGTTGGTGTCTCTGGGGCTTTTCTTCCCTTTCCCTGGCTGCTCCACCACTAAAGTGAAACACTATCCCCACCCGACTTCGAAAGTCCAGTCCTTTTTCGAAACAATTAAAAATAAAATGCACCTGATTTCTACCCCCCCCCCAAATGGATAAAGTGAGAGTAGGCATTTGAGATCCAGCATTTCCTTTCACTTTGTAAACACAAGGGAGATCTTTCAGGCTCCCCATAAGCCAATTAAGACTTTTTAGTGGAGAATTAGCCCCGGATATGCAGCTACCTGTAGAGGTAGGGGCGGTGGGAGAGTCTTTCTTTTGAGGAGCTCCACATCAGCTGGCTCTGTGTTTCAAAGAAAGGGGATTAGAAAGATCAATACAGTGTGACCACTGGCTAGGAAGTCCCAGTGACAGGTGGGCCCAGGCTGGGCAAGCAGAAGGGTCCACTCTTATAACAGCCTATTTAGAGGGGGAAATTGATTTGTAAACAATGCCTCCAAATTGTTGTTCATTGAGGCTGGGATCACTTTGGCTGGGAAGTGTGGGATGAATTATACTGGTGTGGTGTCCCTGGATGGGTGCGCAGCTGCCTAAAATTGTGAGAATGTCTGCACCACACACAGACACGCACACACACACACACACACACACACACACTGTGCCCAGTGTCCACAGAGGAGGGCAAGCAGTGGACTCGGTCCTGGCTTGCTCGGCTAGCCAGGGGCAACAGCCAAAGCTTTCATTTGCTGCCAGAGAAATCAGCCGTCCAAGCTCAGTGGGGATTTTTCTGGCTGCGGTGTGTTTGTCCCTTGTCTAACAACTTAGCTGACAGCACTGGCCAATAGCGGCTTTTGTTTTAAATCTCAGAATGTGGATGATTACAAAGATGGTCCCTAAAATGCAGTTGCTGCCTGTTCCCCCAGCTCACAAGTTACCCCGCTTAATATTAAGACCATTTTTTTCCATTGAATTGCCCCTTTTCATGAATATAATTATGTACAAAGAGGTGGTAGAAGTGGGTTTGGGAAAATAGTATTCTATAGCATGAGAGAAATCTTATCTGTTTAGGGGGTGAATAAAAGCAGAATCCAGAAGTAAGACTATTAATAGCATTTTCCCCTGGCGGGAATGTCACTCTCCTTACGCAGCTCCTGATGAGTTATACCTACAGAGTCAGATGCTGGGTCCCTGGCAGTCATTGCTGAGACCAGCTATGTACTTCAGATAAAAAGGCTTCTTTTTGGAAGGTTCTGGAAAGTTGGATGCTTCCTCTCTCTGACTGCCCTCAGAACAGAGACAGTCTTCCAAGAAAAGCTTTGGAAGTTGTGAGAGCTTGGAAGAGACTGGCTTCTGCTAAAAGCTTCCAGGAAAAAGTTGCATCTCCTGAATAACCCTGCCTGGGTCCCTGCTCTTTTGTCTGTCTCGGAATTAATTCACTCTACTAGCTTTGCATTTTCCTATAGCAAAAAACACAAATGGTCTGCATCAGATTTTCTGCTCTCCCGTGCATAGGATGTATAGAAGTGCCTCCCTTCAGCTTTCTGAGGGGCTCAGGCTGGGTCTGCAAGAAGGCAGGTCCCTACAGAGACTCTGCTCAGCGTGTGTGTTGGTGTATGTGTCTGGGCTAGAGGAAGATTCTCCATTCTGGCTGATGGGTATTATCACTATCCCAAAGTCTTGAGAAAACCACCAGCAGAAAAACATCCCACACATCCCAGGCATCCTGGAGCCAACGGCTGCAGTAGGAGTTTTGTCTCCTACAACTGCCTACAACCAGCACTGAAAATGCGAAACACCACTACCCCCAAGAAGAGCAAACTGTATTCCCAATGTTGTTGCCAAAATAGGCACCCAACTCAAGACACAGGGCCCAGAGCAACTTCCATCTAAAGAAAACATCTTTAACAACATCAATTGATGGAGGGAGCCTCCACCCCTGCCAGTTTATACTGTTCTTTCTTCCATGGAAGTAAGCCAGTAAGTATGGCTTTGTAGCTCCCGAATAGGAGAAAAAAAGGGAGGTGATTTAAAAATGCTTATCCCCAGCCCAGGGGCCTCTTTTTGTCCTTTAGCAAATTCTGTCGTTCATCCACTGGCACTGTGAAGGTAGCTGAGGTTACTAGAGTATTGTAATCATTATAGAGCAAAGAACATCTCACTGACAGCCACAATTAACTTCCTCAACAGAATCTTCCACTGAGGAATCACCTAGCACTTAGACAAGCTTATTTATTCTACCTGGGTTTGTCTCTTTGCTTCTGTCCTGGTGTAATGTGTATTTTTACACTCTTCTTCCAAGTCTTGGAGAAACCAGTTCAGGGACAATAGGGATGACATGGTAAAATGAAGCATTCACTTAGCCTGTCATTTCTTTAATGATTCTATCAAGCCCTGCTGTGTGTTGAGCACCATTCTAGGCACTGGGCTAGCCAGGATAGATCCCTCACCAAGAAGAAACTTACACACTAATGGGGGAGAGACAAAATCAACTTATGACAGATGGCGGTAAATGTTAAAAAGAAAAATAACATAAAATTAGAGGGCTATGGAATGCTACAGTGGAAAGGAGAGTGTTCTTTTAGAAAAGATAGCCATGTAAAGGCTTTTGATGAGATGACATTTGAGCAGAGACTCAGACGCAGAGGGAAGGAACAAGCCTTGATGGTATCTGGAGGAAAGCATCCCAAGGAGAAGGTGTCAAGAGGGGACAACCCTGGCTATCTACTATGTAGTAGAGGAACGAGGAGGCTGACAGGGAGCAGAAGGCATGAAGGGGGCAAGATAGGTGCATGCGTGCATGCTCAGTCATGTCCAAATCTTTGTGACAACCCCATGGATTTGTGGCTCACCAGGCTCATCTGTCCATGGGATTTTTCAGGCAAGAATACTGGAGTGGGTTGCCATTTCCTCCTCCAGGGGATCTTCCCAGCCCAGGGATCAAACCTGCATCGCCTGCATCTCCTGAATCGTCAGGCAGGTTCTTTACCACTGAGCCACCTAGGAAACCTGGAGACAGGCAGGGGCAGTGCAAACCATGATTTTTTTTTCTCAAGGTAATTGAAAGGTTGAAAGAAGAGGAGTGTTGTGAATTTGCTTATAACTGTTAAGGCCACATTTGTTATAGGTATAGAGAGTTTAGGGGCCAAGATGGAAGCGGAGACCCAACTAAGCACCTGCACATGAGTCCTGAAAATAGATTTATGGTGGTGGAAGGGGATAAGGGTGGTCCAGAACCAAGACAACTTTTAAGAAGAAAACAACAGGATTTGTTTTTGTGTGTGAAGCAGAAAAATTAAGGATGACTTCAAGGGTTTGGATCAGAAATGATGAACACCATCCCCAAAAGTCCTCTACAGATGGTTAAGTTTGCCTAAAAATGTTCATTTTATCACCAAAGCAAAGATGGAAAGAGGAATTTCAGTGTCCATAAGGTAAGGACAAGTTGCTGTCCAAGATAACCGTAACCTTCTCCAGCTTCAGAGGTCTAAGAGAAATGCCTCGGAGAAGGCTTATAATGAGTGGGAGGCGTGAGTAGGGGGACGGGCCCCGTGATGTCCAGGGCAATATTCTCAATGACGTCATCATCATTAACACGATCATACCAACTAACACTTACACAGCACTTATTCTGTATTCTACGTACATTCTCCAGGCAAGAATACTTGAATGGTTGACCATTCCCTTCTCCAAGGGATCTTGCTGAACCAGGGATCACACCTGGGTCTCCTGCATTTCTGGCAGATTCTTTACCATTGGAGCCACCAGGGAAGCCCCTGCAAACACACTATACATATTAATGATTTAATTCTCATGATTTTATTCTCATTATCATTAAAGATAATGATAATATCATTATCTCTGTTTTGCAGAGCATTATCTCTGAGGCACAGGGAAGTCAAATAACTTCTAAGAGCACACCAAAAGTAAGTCATGAAGGTGGAATTTGAACTCAGACAATCTGGTTCCAGCATTTCTACTGCTTCTTACATTGTTCCTCTTGGAATGAAAATGGAATACAACTAAGAAAAAGCATCATGGACCACAAGCTTCGCTTTCTGGGGCCCAGCCTGACCCAAGTGTAAGCATAATCATTGTTACAGGCGAGGCTCAGCTGCCATATGGGGCTGTTGGTTGCATGAGGAAAGGGGCTCATCCCTCCGATCCTCCTGGTGCAAAGCACACACAGCAAGGTAAGTGGAGTGTCCCCTCTCCACTCACGTCCCCAAGGGGCTGCACACCGGGCACAGTCCTTACGACCTGATCTAGCAGCCCTGCCTAGAGGCAAGAGTAAGTCAGGAGAATAGTCCTTTTCCTGACTGAGATAGAGGAAGCCTATCTCAGGGTTTGGGGTGAGTTTTCTGGCAAGGACCTGGGGTGTCACTATTTCAATTTGTAAGATCAATAGGGCCAAGAGCCCAGTGGCATCCTTTTCTGAAAAATCACCATTCACATTTGGCCAGAAAGCATTCAGATAGGAAGTTTTAAATAGCTATGATGAATATAGTAAAGAATTTAGTGGAAATTGTGGACAATATGCTTATGTTAGTCAGGGTTTTCCAGAGAAACAAAACCAGTGGGATATATAAGTTTACGTATAAGAGGAGATTTATTACAGAAATTGGCTCACAGTGTTATGGAGGCTGAGAAGTCCCACAGTGTGCTGCAAGTTGAAGAACCAGGAAAGCTAGTGGTGTAATTCAGACCAAATCTGAAAGCCTGAGAATACCAGGCAGCCAATGATCTAAGTCCCAGTGTGAGTCTAAAGCCCCTAAGCAGGAGCACTGCTGTCCTAGAAGATGGCTGTCTCAACTTAAGCAGAGAGGAAATCCACCCTTCCTCATCCTTCCGTTTTATTCAGGTCCTCAGGGAGATCTTTACTCAGTCTACTGATTCAAATGCTAATCTCCTCCAGAGACAACTTCATAGATGTCTCCCAGAAATCATGTTTTACCAGCTTTCTGGGCATCCCTT